GACCAGTAATATTTGGGGTCACAAGTTTTTGCCATGGATGTTTTGGGGGTCATAAGATAAAAAGTTTGGGAACCACTGCTGTATATTACTCAATAAGATACACAGAAAAAAGATTAAATTGAAACTGTTTCAATGCTGTAGTTTCAGAAATGACCAACAGGGGGAGCCAGAGGATTAAAAATACACATTTTATGTTCAGTCTGAGGCAGAAACATGAGCTAGAATGGTATTTTTTATGACTTCCATGTGTGTATAAAAAACAACAACAGAATCCAACATTATGCTTTTAAACAAGCAGGTGGTTAGGATACAAACAACTCTTCTAATGAAAACTGTCAAAGCAAATAAAAAAACTGCCTTAAAACACAAACGTCTCCCAACAGGGAGCTATTGCTTACATAAAACCTAATAATGACGACAAGTATTGTAAAAAGGCACAAACTTTCTGAAAAAATAATAAAATGTCTCCCAAACAATTTCCCACATTTCTTTTGAGCTGCATATTCTGAGTATTGAAGATTATTTTTCTGTAACAGTACAACAAATAAAAACATGGGCAGAAATTTTCAACAGATGTTTCTATTCAAGTCAAAATGATGTCTGGATGAAAACCAGTTACTTTGTCTAAAACTAACACTAAGACGACAAACTATCAGCTACTGAGTTGCGTTTTAAAACACTGATGGAGAGAAGAGGTGGTTCAGCTGGAATCCCTTCAGTTTCCCATGTCTTTGTGTTTTTGGTTTAAATCAAAGTAAAAAGCTTCAACAATCCATTGAAATGCGAGTTTCACGTCTTTTGTACAAAGTAATGCACTATTAAAGAACTCTCTAATATCTAAAATGACATTTTAAAAAAAATTATGAAAGCTTTATTGCGTTTTGTTTCCTAACTTTAAATCCAGTATGCTGTCTTCAGGAATACTGCTAGGCTCATGGTGGCTTTGAATGTTCCTTTAAATTACATTCATTATAAATACTTTTTAAATTACATTTGGCTTCAATTGACTTGGTTTGATCAGTGCTAATAATTAAAAACACCCTCCAACACAGGTTAAACACATTTTGATGCTAAGTTTGGAGGGGAAAATTTTAAATACTTCAACTCCTGTTGGATTAATGAGTCTTTCATAAAAACAGAGAAACAAGGTTCTCTAGTCGCACACACACACACACACACACACCAGATGGGCCGAGGTGACGAAGATTCTTCTGGGAGAGGTTATATCAGAGCCCGGACAGCGAAGGAGATCGCAGCGCCCAGCGCCAAGCCGAGGGACAGGAAGAAGGCCATGATGGCGCCGGCCGTCTCTGCCTGATGCTGCGGCACCTTCCTGCACGGAGACAACGAGCACAAACATGAACCAGTGACCTGAGCGTCTGTTGTCAGTGGCGGGGGTGGGGGGGTCTGCCACGGAAGCCTTACTTTGGTCCGAAGCACATGCAGAGGCTGGCCAGGTACCCGTTGGAGAAGGAGAAGAAAACCATGAAGATGATGTACCAGGCGTCGTGAGCGAACCACACGGGGAGGTGGTGACGGGGGCTGACGTTACACAGCATGAAGAGCGGGATGAAGACGACGCGCAGGCCCACCAGCACAGGRAGCCAGATACTGTCCTTACCCGGCTGCACAGAGACATGGAAACCCTTTATGCCAACACACCCCTAAATCTGAACAGAGTTGCARCACCTGCTTACCTGATTAAAAGAGGCGCATTTTTAAACCCTTATTTTTCACATCATGTAAAGCAGAACTGCAAAGCTTTGATCTGAATTCCTCCTTATTGCAACTCCACAAGCCCCTCTTTCACCTCTTTTCTCAACTCATTTTGAGACTGTCTCTTTCYAGAATATAWAGATATCTATGCAGCACTGGGAGAGAATAAATTCAGCTTTTCTAGAGACTCCAAGAACAACAAAAAGTGGATTCTGTCCCCTTTAACAGATGTTTCATTAGACCAGTTTTTAAAGGACAAGCAGGGTTACAGTCATATAAACAAGTATAAAAAAACTGGCAGAAAGTGGTTTGAAGTTATGAGTGAAGAATCAGCAGCATCTCATCTGATGATGCTAATATATCAGCTCACATGCTCCTGCAGCAGCTGACTCCGGTTATCTGCATTCCACCGCAGGTCAGACGGTATCGACTTAATGTACTCACTTTATCCACATTTGATTATGTTAGACTCAGTCTGTTCGCTCACAGGAAATTAAAACGTTCATGTTTGTTTTCAGTGCGCGCTCATGAAGTTTATATTGTGCCAGGAGAGAAGCCAACATTTCAACACACTGAGGGGGAAAACACAAGCCTGATGAACAGAGGAAACTGAGGGGAAAGAAARTTAACTTTGAATATTTGTGCGTAATTAAATCTGATGGAAGTCTGAACTACCATGCTGAGAATCCTGAGTCACACTGGAGYCAAAAGGGACAATTTAAAGTCCTCTAAGTCATTTAATATACTTCGTTAAAGCCTGAAATCTCCAGAAATGCTGTTAAACCCTCGACACTCAGCTCCGACGTAAAGCAGCACTAAAGTATCCTTTATTTGTGTAAGTATAAAAGAAGTAAGGGACTTTTAAAAATCACTGTTCTCCGAGCCTTCACACAACAACACTGTTTTAAATTTTCCCGATCTCAGCGACTCAACTTCTGCACTTTCAGCGCAGACTCAAACTAACTTTTGTTTTTTTTTCCCCTCACATGATGCAGAGATTTACTCGTGGCTCAACATTTGATCCAGCCAAAGGCTTTCCAACTGTCAACAAGCGAGCCTGTTGTTCCCAGAACGTTACGCCTGCTGGGAAAACACATCAAACTAAATATTTTCATGTGGTCATTTTAAAGTATCTATAAAAGATAATAATAACATTATCCCACAATAACATCTTATATGGATGTTCTCACTTGCAGATGTTATGTCCGGTCTCTGATTTATAACTTGTAAAATCTTAGTGTTGCTGTATGAATGTTACTGACCCACATGCAGACGGCCGTCAGACTCCTGCCAGCCCAGTCCATCACGTTGAAGAGGAGGAAACACGACACGGGGATGAAGTAGGTTTCTGAAAGTGGATCGAAACAAACTGCAGGTTGTTACCAAATGTATTTACCTGCACAGGAAAACACATTAAACTGAATCTGACTTTATTCAAACTGCAGATCTTAAGTACTTGTGAACTGTGAGAGGGGAAATTTTTACACTTACATAAATGTCTGATTTTACTAAGTTCCCTGTTTCACCTATCGTTTTACTAAATTCTAAGATTAATAATGTTACTGGTTCACTTCCACTCCAAAGAAAGGAAATCCAGCCTCACCCCAGACRCCTCCGTTTTGCACCGTGGTCTTGGCTTCGGCGGTCACGGATGGGAAAACTCCGATGGTGACGAGGAAGATGAAGCAGACGGACAGAGCCATCACCCAGATCTGATTAGGAAGCACAAGGAGAGCATTATCAGTTCTGTGCAACCGGTTCAATCTGTCAACTTGGTACAAAATTCATTCATAAGGATGAACAGAGTGAATGGAATATAAAAGAATTACATTCAGAAGAAAATTAAACTAAGAGGAACACAAAGTTAAACCAGGTAACGTTCTCGTTTGTGTAAAACAAGTTATTAAACTTATTTTTTATTATTTGTGTTAACTTATTAAGTGAATGTGTGATATTTTGAACCTTTTTAAAGATGTTAAACACAGAAACAACTGGTCTGGTTTCCTCCTCTATGAGATTCGTGTCCGGTCGCTTTTCTTCTGTTGTGTTTTCTGGAAAATAAAACAAGAAACAAAAAAAAGGCCATTTCCTACTAATTAAAGAGAGTATATTAATATATATCACCTGCTGTACATTTCACAGGTCTCACTCAATCTGTTAACACTCAGAGTTTGTGTTGGAGATGTCTCATCTACCACCACACCAGGTTTTAGCTCATTWTCTGTAAAACTAACCAGTTTTGTGTTTGCTGAACTTACAGAATAAATCTTCAGTTAAGGTCATTAGTTGGTACTGTTCATCTAATGCTTAGTTTGGGAGTTTCATTCAAATCGGCCCCTCTGGTTCATGAGACATTTTGCTAACAGACAGACAAAAGAAACCGAGGCCAACGCATCCTGACAGAGTAAAATGTTTTTAATTTYCTTTATTTCCTGCTCAGATGAGTCATGAGTGTGACCGCCTGGCGACACAGAGCAGAAGCAGCTGGAGAGTCACGTTATTTTAATCTTTGCCAGATCAAATGCAGTCCAGTGTGCATTAAATGGTTCATAAATCGATTGAAATCACCTGAAATGAGCACAGAAACAAGTTTCTCAGAACTCACCACTTCTAGTTACCTTTACAGATCGACCGATACAGGTTTTTCAAGGCCGATACCGATACCGATTTTTTTGACATCAGTCTAACCGATACGCCGATACGTGCAGCCAATATTTTTTTGGCCGATTCTTGAAGCCGATACTTCCTTTTCTTCCTACATTAACATGATAAAAATAAGAACGATAACAAATGTTACACAAGTCTTAATTTAAAACAAAACAAAAAAAACATTTATTAACTAAGCCTTGTCTGATGAGGCTGTATAAAGTGC